GATCCTCCCCTCCCCCCGTCCTCCTCCCAAATCTGAGCCGCCGCCTGAACAAGTCCTCTTTGATTTCACCGCCGCGAGATCACGTTCTCCGCTCCATCGCGAGATCGTGCTGCATCCGAGATCGAGCTGCGAGATCAAGATATCCTCCACGAGATCCCTCCGAGCTGCCACTAACCCCAGCCCCGATTTCTCTGTCAGGTATAATTTCAAATATCCCTCTTGATCCCTCTCTCGATCCCTCTTAATTAAGAAAAAATCAATAAAAATAGACATAAAAAGGGTTAAAAAGAATTGCTCCGGGTTCAATTGATCAAATTCAATTACTCCAGGGAAGTCCCCAATCGAGCAAATTCTGATTCAATTGCTCCAGGATGGTCCTAGTATAGATTTGGTCTTAAACTTCTTGCTTAGTATGGATTTTAAGTAATTGATTGTTGTTGATTTATTAGTTTTTACGGGAGCTTTATGAAAAAGAGTAGTGTGGTGTCGAAGATTGGAATGTTGACTAAGTAATTGCTTTTGGGTTGTTGACAAATAACTCATTGTTATTATGCGCAAGTTGATATGGTATTTTGATAGCTTTGAAGGTTTTAGTAGAACACATTTTCTGATTAAGCCATTGTATGAATACATGTGTACAAAATTATTATTCAATTTAATTTGGAACTTATTATTAAATCACGTAATTCAATCTGTAATATTTTTTTGTAATATTTTTTCTGGTTGTAATTCAATCTTCTTTGTTGTATTAGATTGTAATTATTTTCTGGAATGGATGTAATATTTTTTCTGGTTGTAATTCAATCTTCTTTGTTGTATTAGATTGTAATTATTTTCTGGAATGGAGGAAACAAATTCAACTAGTGTAGAACAATCTTCTTTGTTGTATTAGATTGTAATTATTTTCTGGAATGGAGGAAACAAATTCAACTAGTGTAGAATTCGGAATAGGAGAATCAAGTGCTATTGGACTTGAAATTGCGGACAATACTGTAAATGCTCCTAAACCACTACTAGGAATGAAGTTTAATAGTTATGAAGAACGTTATACCTATTATAACTCTTATGCATTGTTGATGGGTTTTGGAATAAGGAAGAGCACGGTAAATAACTCTCGCAAGACTAGAGAAGTGGTAGACAGAAAGTATGTTTATGATAAGGAGGGCTATAGACCTAAAAGAGACAAGATAGAAAATCCAATTCGGCGAGAGACCCGAGTGGGATGTAAGGCAATGATACAAATTAAATTATTAGAGGACAAATCGTGGGAGGTCATGGGGTTTATTGAAGAATATACAAATCATGTGTTGAGTAGTCCAGACAAAGCAAAAATGCACAGATCACATCAACAATTCCATAAAACTCAAAGATGTAAAAAACTTATTGATATTCTGCAAGAAGAAGGTATGCCTCCTTTCACTATTTCTCGTGTTATTAATGCAACTAATGGAAGAGAAGGTGAATTAGTGACACCACAACAATACATTGATCATATCAGAACCCAAAGAGTCAACAATATTGGTCATGAATGCATATCTATCATTCGACATTTTCAGAGTGCGACAGCGAATGATCCAGAATTTTATTTTGCAATAGAAGTAGACAGTAGTGGACAAATGAGGAGTGTTTTCTGGGCCGATGGAAGATCAAGAGCATCTTATTTGAAATTCAGTGATGTTATTATGTTTGATGTGACATACAGAACTAATAAGTTCAGCCTTCCATTTACTCCATTTACTGGTGTAAATCAACATAGGCAATCCACTTTACTTGCTTATGCATTATTAGCCGATGAACAGGAAGATACCTTTGTGTAGTTATTTGAAGAATGGTTGAAATGCATGTATGGCATTGAACCAGGTGCTATTATAACAGATCAGGATAGAGCAATGTGTAATGCTATTCACTTAGTGTTTCCAACGACAAGACACCGTTATTGCTATTAGCCCATGCAAAAGCACATTATTGATCATTTGCCTACTTTAGGATCTCGTTATAGTGAACAGTTTCAAAGGTATTGGGGCTTGTGGTATAATAGTTCTTTAATTGAACAATGTGAAGGATATTGGGTTGAGATGAAAGAGAAGTTTGATATAAATGAAGAAGGGGAGGGATGATTGCAAACAATTTACAAATGCTGAGAACACTGGGTGTCGTGTTATCAGAAGGACACTTTTTTTGGTAGAATGAGATCGAGCCAAAGGAGTGAAAGTATTAATGTATTTTTTGATGGGTATGTTAACTCACAGACTCAATTACACGAGTTTGTGACACAATATAAAAAAGCAGTAACTCATGGTCGCTTAAGTGAAGCCCATGAAGATTTTAAGAGTCTTAACACAAAGCCTGCATTCTCCTTGGACATCCAATTGAGGTCCAAGCTGGAGAAATGTATACACGCAATATGTTTGATGTGTTCCAAACTGAATTCAAAGAATTTGGTACAGAGTTTTGTGAAGAATTGAGAAAAGATGGGGACATTGTTGAATACAAGGTCTGTAAGTTTACAGATAGAGGAAAATGGGAGGTGGTTACTTATGAGCAATCTAGTCAGATGCAGTTCTGTTGTACTTGTGCTTTGTTTGAAACTAATGGTGTTGTATGTAAACATATATTATTGCTAATGATGGCTAGACAAATGGATTCATTATCCGACCATTACATCCTTCACCATTGGACTATACATGCTCGACATCGTAACATTAGGGTTGGCAACATTATATATGGAAGAAACATCACAAGCTGTGAAGAGAAGATTAATTTATTGAAATCTTAGGCATTAAGAGCAAAATTCAATAATGCGCTCGCGCTTGCATTTGTTTCAGAAGAGAAGATGAAAAATCTAGATGATGTGCTAACAAAATTTATAGAACCACTGCAAGAAGAAGTTGGAGCACATTCCTCAAATCAAGATCAAATAGTGGACACTCCTCAAATTTCCGCACACATCTCACATACAATGGAGCACATTCCTCAGATTACAGTTCGTGATCCTAATAAACATGCAAGGACTAAAGGTCGTCCACACAATACAACTAGAATCCAGTCAGGTTTAGAACAAGCACAAGAAAAGAAAGAAATGAAGAAACGTATATGTAGCAGATGTGGTGAGCTCAGACATTATAGAACTAGCTGTAAAGTCAACTTGCCAAGGTATAGTTAATATTTTTTCATGAAAGTTCATAACACATAATTTTCGCCTTGGTACAATTATATGATTAATTTTTCATGTGATTTGCAGCTAAACGAAAATATGTCTGGATTCTTGAGCTCCACATGCATGGATTTTTTCATGTAAGTATGTCGGAATTTGTTCCCTTTTGGCTTTCTATTTGCTTCCGTTTTCTATTTTGCTTTCAAGCATATAATAATTGGTTCCATGCATGAGTCGACATATAAGATAGAACAATCTGGTTATCTTTTATTTATTTTCTACTCCTTGTATACATGGTTTAATTTCTGTTGTACCTACTATGTGCAATTAGTTCAGTTACATAGAACAAGTGCAACTTTTATTGTCATTTATATGTTTACTTCCTGTGTAACCAGACTTTATGAATCATTTTAGATGGCAGTTGCACTTTCACATGCACGTGGGTGGTTCGAGCATTTGGGATTCAAGCAATTGTGGGTGGTTCGATCAACAATGAGTTTTGTTGTAACTATTTCTGTTTTGAAACAAGAAAATGACTCTAATTTGTGAGAGTTCTTGGATGTATTATTTTATGGTCGATACATTTATGCTGCATATGTGTTTAGACAATCTTAGCTGCATGTATTCAGGTTGATACTGTTTGTGTTGATCATTTGCTACATTTGTGATGATGTATTCAGGCAATCTTAGCTACATTTGTGTTGCTGATAAGTTCTTGAACTGTGTCTGCATTTGATCAAAGAATGGTGTGGTTGATCTCATAAGATTCATTTAGTTAAGATTCATATTTGTGTTGCATATGTGTTTAGGCAATCTTAGCTGCATGTATTCAGGTTGATCACTGTTTGTGTTGATCATTTGCTACATTTGTGCTGATGCATTCAGGCAATCTTAGCTACATTTGTGTTGCTGATAAGTTCTTGAACTGTGTCTGCATTTGATCAAAGAATGGTGTGGTTGATCTCATAAGATTCATTTAGTAAAGATTCATATTTAACCTTAGAGATGCATCCTCCCAGTGCAAAGCCTTCGAAAAACTGGTGGAAGGAGAGAGCAGCAATGAGAGGCCGGACTTGACATGGGCTCTGTGATACACCTAGGGAATGTAATCCTGTCTCCATCCAACCAACTTATCTAAAAAAGTTTGTTACCTATCTAGAGGACAAGTAGGAATTTCTCTACGTAGAATTGATGACACGAAGGTAGAATTGATTCATTTTTTGCTAGAAAAGTAGGAATTTGATGATTATGTTATTTGCTACTAATGACTCTAATTTGTGATGAATATTGTTACAAAGTACTAACTGATTACATCAAATTGATATCCATAAAGGCAATATTCTCCAAAGTTGAATCAAATTGATATCTCATTGTACACATTTAGTACTAACTGGTAACAAATCCAATAATACATTCTCACACCCTACTTAGCACAAATCTAATAAAAATACCAAATACAAATCCAATAAAAATACCAACTAAAAGAGCAAATATAATAAGCTTCAACAAATCCATAATATCAATCTAATCCAATAAAAATACCAACTAAAAGAGCAAATATAATAAGCTTCAACAAATCCATAATATCAATCTCAATCTTTCTCTTTTCCTATAATAAGCTTCAACAAATCCATAATATCAATCTCAATCTTTCTCTTTTCCTGCACTTCTCCACTTGAGACGGCTCTTGAAACTTGCGGCGTCACGCTCCACTGCTTCATCTGAACAAGCTCTGCCTTTTGAACCTTCAAACTCCTCTTCATCAGATACCCATTTGAAGAATCCATAATTACTCACTTTCCAATTAGCGCATCCAAAAACAATCGACCAGAGTTCGTCTTAGTTCCAGATCTGGAGAGTATAGCCCTCCTTCCACAATGACACAACAGTCCATGACGATTGCTTAAAGATGACTCCATGATCCACGGCTTCAGATACAAAAGTTTGCATATTTATAGCAATTGAAAAATAATAATTGGCAAAATAATAAAAACACACTCAGATACAAAAGTTCACTCATGATCCTCTAAATATCAACGTGTTGAACATAACTATTGGAGTGATCAGGTTAGCTATAGAAGATTTCTATCATTCTTTGCCTACTGGTTTCTACTTAATTAACATATATACTTTCAAACTTTGCTCTGACATGAGTTAAATGAAATATGAAACGTAATGCAGTGCATTTGGAAAATGTGGGATTCTCGACTGGTTACAGCTGCGATCGACAATTGAAGCCCGACAAGAATTGTAAAGCTCAATTGTAAAACTCAACGGAAAACTTATAAAGTTTAGTAGGAAGAGTGGTAAAGCTTGGAAGTTAAATTAAAACAAGCAAGCTTAAGCACGCTCATTGATATTCCTAGCCCCCTGCAATTGAAGTAATTGCCTTCAGCTATTGTATGTTTATGTATATGTATACATATAGCATGAGAAATTAGACCACAATCTTCAAAGCAAACTACTTTTTTTGAGAAAATGTGGTGCGTGGGAAGAGGAGCTCCACATTGAGTTATTAAGTCAAACATGTTTCCAGTTTTCATTATTCTTCAAAGCAAACATGTCCGTAATTTCAGACCATCTCCTAACACAAACAAATACCTAATCTAGCTAAGTCATCAAATCAATTAGTGGTGTAAAATAAAGTAAATGACCTCATAACAAACCTGAGGAAGGGGGCTGAGGAAGGGGGAAGACGGACCTCGATCGTAACGGAATCGGTGTCGCGGCGTGGCGGC